AGTTCAATGGACTCAGCTTTTTTATTCATCTTTTTTAAGGCAACCAGGATTTCATTACAGTGTAGAGTTTGGATTAAAAAAAATGCAGGTTGAAATTCCATTGTAATCCCAAAACATTTTTCTTTTCTTTTAAAACAAAAAATTGCATTTTAAAAAATAAATTTGAAATAGTTGATTGGCATATAAATTAGCTATTACTTAAGCTTCTCTAAAACAAAACCGACAATAGTATCCTGAGTAGGTATTTTTTGGATTAAATAGTCATAAATTTGGATAGTTGATGACACTTGAGAAACTGAGTTAAAGACTCAAAGTTTTCTGTGGTGAATGCTGAATCTGTCCTCTATATGTGCAGAAAATTTTACTTCTTACTATGATTAAGCTAAGGAAAACAAGTATACAGACGTTTGGACTTAAAAATATTTAAAAAATAATAATAAAAAAAAGTGTTACCACTGAGAAAAAAAGACAATTTTCTGTTTCATTAAACTCCTGTGTATATATATATATATATATATATATATATATATATATATATATATATATATATATATATATATATATATATATATATATATATATATATATATTTACATTTACATTTAGTCATTTACATTTTGTCCAAAGTGACTTACAATTGAGGAGGCATTCAGCGATTCAGCAAAAAGAGGCAATACACACAAGAAGTTCTAAGTAGTAATTCTGTAAAGGAACTGCTGGTGCTCAGAGAATTAAGTGCTAAAAAGGAGGCAGGATTTAAATAAAAAAAAAATTATAGAGAGCAGAATGCTTCTACAGGTGGTGTGTCAGGCCCACTCCCCTGTGTGAAACATTTCATAAAGGCACAATGTTTTGTTGTTTTGAAGTATGGAGTGATTGTAAGAAAGTGTCTGGTGCAAATGTGACGCAATAAAACACTATAGATGTTATACATTATGAAATGAATGAAATAATACAGAATCATGCAGCAAACTGGGATCAAATGTATACTTCTTAAATAAAGTATTTCTATAAATAAATCTAAATAATGATGATAATAATAATGGGATCTTTACTCGTTTCCTTATTTAATAATAAATATAAAAAATACCTGTTTAAGTATTTATTTTTCATTAGGCTTTTTCTGTTCATGAAAATCATCTATCACCTACTTGCCAATTATAGACTCTACAAACCGCTGTTGTTCCACTTCAAATATGGATAAAATAGACAAAACAAATGCTGGATTAAAAAAATAAATTAATTACAAAATTTAACCTGGTGATTAAGTTTGCCCACATTTTAATCAATTTTACATTACAGCCTTTACTGTTTTAGTAAGCAGTAAGACCAGAAGCTCCACAGGGTTTACAGGTAAAGATCATCTGAAACTCTTTGGTAACACTTTAAAATAATGACCCATTAGTTAAATGTATTTACTAACATGAACAAACTATTAGTTATACATTTATTACAGTATTTACACATCTTTTTTAACATTAATGTTATTTAAGTAGAATAACTGTGCAGTAACCTAAATTAACTTTAGATCTGAATAATGCATTAGTAAAAAATCAAACAAAAAGTGCTCAGGGGTAGCTTAAATAACGTGTCTGTGCTTTTTGGGTAAAGGATTCATCAGAATAAACAGCAAAAATCAGTCCAAGGCACTCGAATAACATGGAACAAATATTAAAAACCCTTTATTCACATGGCTAATCCTCAAAAAACCTATGCATTACTAACTACTGCATTAGTTAAAGTTGAACTATAATAAATGCTTAGAATGTTAGTACATACATAAACTATTGGACCATTATTTTAAAGTTTTACCAACTTTACTTAAAAGAAGCAGAAATAAATAGCTTGTGTGTGATTATTATATTGGTTTATTTTGGTTTACTGTAGGGCTTCTGAACTATTGGCTGTGGCTGAATACAGACAGCAGTCCAGACCAACGAGGACGGCCACTGCATTCATTTCCTCCTCTCTGCTCCTGCCTCCAGTGGCATTGCTGACCTTTCACTTTCTGACATCAGCAGTTGTATTTAGTGTGTGTGTGTGTGTGTGTATGTTTGTGTTTAGAGTCACATGTGTCTGTGTATAAAGAACTACACTGAAAGGCCTTTGTAGCTTTAGACCAAACACACTGGACCCTCAAGAGTTTTCCACAAAGTTAACTCACTATGGTACAAATGTTGCTATTATTTTTTGACACACTGTAAAACCCAAAAAGTTAAGGCAACTCAAGCCATTTGAGGACACCTGATTGCAAAAAACCATTTAACCCTCTACAGCACACATTATGATAAACCTGTAAAAAATAATATTTGACTGTTTTTCTTTTCTTAAAACGGCTTAACTTGAAGTGCTGTAAAAAATTGTAAATAAATATATTTTTAAGGTACTTTATGATGTTGCCATATGGCAACAACGTCCAACTCAGGATCTACCTGAGAAATTTCTAATTTAAAAGTTTCCTTATTTCATTTATTCTATTCTTTATTGCTCAATATTATTGAAAACAATCCTTATGTTGTATTATCTTATATACAGCATACAGTAAATATAAATATTTTTCCAGTAAATATTATAACAAATTAAAAACAAGTCTAGTATATCCAGATGCATCAGAATAATGTAGCTACTAGCTAGCAATGTTTGTATTATACTATACTACGCCTGTCTTATCTGCATCTGAGTTAACTTACCTGAACTGTCTCTATCAAATGTCCAGTCTGCATCATTCTTATGGTCACTAAAACCCATCTCTTCCTCACTTTCATCTGCAGGAGAGCCAGTTCTGTCCTTTTCTTCCTTAAATTACCACAGAACATGGCGGTGCTCGCTAATACACTGTTCCCTGTATTGATATCTATTCAAAAGTAGTATTGCCATTAAAACTAGATTTTATCCATAATGCAAATATCATAAACATATGACAAATCAACATTATATTACTTGCATTCATGTTGTTATTGTTACAACTTAAAAGATCACAGCTGACCTTGCTAGCTTGCAAACTCCACTATTGCACAGTGTTGCCATTTGGTAACACACGCATTTGATCGATTTACAAAAAACTACTTTGATTAAAAATTTTTGAGTTGTGAATATGTCATCATAACTCACTGGAGGTGATGTTTCAGATTTTTTTTTGTGGATCTCACATAATTTGATCCTTTGTTTTTATTGACGTTTACATTTGCATTTAGCAACTACTCACAAAAAACGCCAGTCTGTCAGAGATCGCGCTACAGAAAAACACTGGATGTCATGTGACTTAACCAAAGCACGTCATTGGCTACTCTAAGGTCTTCTCTTTCAACAAAAAAATAATATGTTGGTCTTAAAGAAACAGTGGCACCGAAATGAACATGAGTATCATGTTACCATATGGTTGCGCCGTGCAGTAGAGGGTTAAGTTCAAACACTAATCCTAATGAGTACTGCGATCTTAATCCATTTGAGTACACGAAGCAATTTGAGCACAGTAAAACCCGATAAATGATGAGAACTCAAACCAACTGAGTACTGTAAACCCAATAAGTAAAGGCAACTCAAACATTTGGGATAAACTAATCTATATGAGTACTGTGAACTTAATTCATTTAAGCTGCAGTAATGAGTTCAAAACTCTTTTCAAATGAGTATAATTAACTTTCAGTACATTTTGAGTAACCTACACTCATTTCAATTGATAAAGTTGACTGTTGGGTTTTACAGTGCTTGCTCAAACTACTTATTAAGCAAGTTGAAACAACACAATTCCTGAATTTTTTGAGGGATGAATTAATTATTTTGTTCAATCCACTTAAATTTGTAAAAACTAATAAATCAACTTAATTCCATCATGTTGCCCCAATTCCTTCATTAATTCCTTCATGTTGCTCCATGTCTGCAGTGCACCTGAAATGAAATGAGAAAATGTGAAACATTCATTAATTTTCCTCCTGCTTGGTCCCTCATTTATCAATGGTCACCGCAGCGGAATGAATCGCCAACTATTCCGGCATATGTTGTACGCAGTGCATGCTACTCAGTATTGGGAAACACCCATACATTCTCACATTCACACACACACACACACTCATAAACTACAGACAATTTTAGTTAAATTCCCTTGTAGCGCATGTCTTACTACCCAAGGTCTTCTTGCTGTAAAGTGACAGTGCTACCCGCAAAATTTGAAACACAATGGCATAAATATCTATTAAATGAGCATTCTGTATATCTTTAGCCACTTTTAGGTATTAAGATGTATTTTTCTTTATGTGTTTATTTCATGAACTTACTATGATGATAACAGTAAATTATAGTTACACGCAATTGACATTTAAACCTTTACAAAGTCCATGGTAATTACCAATATTCAGAATTATTAAATGTATAATTAATGTGTAACAAGGACACTTTTCAATAAAATATAACCTTGTCTACACATATTCTTAGTAATTATGTTTTGTGCATAATAACACAGTATCCATATTTAATGTGTTCAGAAATGAACTAATATTGATGTTTTACAGCAAAGCCAGCTAACCTTATATTTTCACTACTAAATAGATAATACATTATGATTATTTCATGCATTTTCTTTTCAGCTTAGTCTCTTGATTACTCAGGGCGCGCCACAGTGCAATGAACCGCCAACTATCCAGCATAAGTTTTAAGCAGCGGATGCCTTTAAAGCTGCAACCCACCACTGGGAAACACCCATACACTCCTGCATTTACACATACAGTACAGCCAATTTAGTGTATTCAATCCACCTGTACCACATGTATTTGGACTGGAGCACCCGGGGGAAACCCACATGACCACAGGGAGAACATGCAAACTCCACACAGAAATGCCGACTGAACCAGTTGGCCCTTGAACCGGTAACCTTCTTGCTGTGAGGCGATCGAAATATTCATAATAAAAGCATGTGTGCATCATAAATTAATGAAAATGTCCAGTTTCTTTGAAATAAAGCTAGTCTAGCACTTGTGAAATATAAAAAATCCAAGACAAGAGTCTACTGACCGGTTATTCATCTTTTTATTTGAAAACATTTTACAGAGAGGATATCTCAAACCAGTTCTGTGGACTTTTACATTTGTCTGAGACTGGGATCTTGTAGTTTTTTCCTAACCTTCTAGCACAAAGCACCACTTGTTTATTGCTATGGAAATCTGCCACTGTTAAGGGTCATGTTTAATTCAGCCATTTTAAAACACGCTTGAATCTCAAAATGCTACAAAGGAGCTTCTTACCAAAAAAGCAAAAAAAAAAAATAGTGGTTACTACTCAAATGCTCCCTTTCTCTGACACTTTTTATAAGATACTCAATTAAACAAGACTCAAAGACAGAGCCGTAAAACCGTGAAGCGCAGGCTATGCTCTCTAGTGGAAAATGATGATCCGGATGCTTTTAACATGATAGGATATGACATGTTCCAAGTGGCTGCATTTGGCAGGCGAGCTGCTGGTGAAAATTTTTGTTCAAGAATAACTGTTGGTTTTTCTTGAAATGAATCTCTCCTTCTGTCAGATATAGGAGATGGTGCTTCTGCGGGGAGTGTGAGTCGACTTTTAGCTAAGGAAATCTAGTACGGGAAGTCTAAAAAAAAGTTTGCGTTTTACAAAATACTCGATAGGAATAAAAAAAAAGTTCTGTTATTCCAGAAAACAACTTCAATCACTCTTTTCCCTCGGCCTCAGTCTTGGGCGTCTCAGTTTCCTATACATAGAGAGAGAGAAAAACACAATAGATGAAGAATATAAGTTTAAAGCAGAGGAGAGGATACTGATATGTTTTACTTAATAAACTGTTAGATGATCTGATGTGAATTCAAACAGAACCAAAGCCACTCAGTTAGTGCCAGAAAAACACAATCAAACTTACCTCAAACTGCAAATCAGTGATTCAGTCAATTCAGCAACACACTTTAACATGTGAGCGCATTCATATTCTTACATGTATGCTTCTGTATATTCAGTCAAAATGAATGAAAACTGTGTGGTTTAACATGACTTCTATAATAACAGTGTTTTGTAGATAGACTGTGTTGATAAGACCCATCAATGTTCAGGAAACCTGTCCGATAACAATTATTAGTTTTACCCTAAAATGAAAAATTGGTCATTTCTTCACCCTCATGTTGTTCTAAACCCATTAGACACAAATGAAGATTGTTTATAATCCAATCTGAGAGATGTCTGTCTCCACTCTGTTCACCCAAAACACTGACAATTCAAAATATAAAGAGATTTGAGCCATTTAGTCCATTTCTACTGAAGCAACACAACTGTTATATAATTAACAGGCTGAATTAGGGCTTTTAATCACATATATGCTTTTTTCCTGTCAGAGCCAGTAAGGCTACGTCTGTACGACAACTACTGTGTTTGTCTTTTTTCTTTTCCGGATTGCTTAAATTTCCCATATGCAAACCATTTTTAAGAAATGTCTGCGTCTACATGGAAACAGGAAAACTAGTTAAAATGGTGTAATATCCAACTGATACATTTAAAGATACTTCAGAGCGAGATCTAGGAATTACTATGACAGAGGATTTATTGGATAACATTTTAGCCCGAGTGCATTCCTCTTCATTATGTGCTAGACATGGTTTGATGCAGTGTAAAATATTATTTAGCGCTCACTTAACCAATGCTCAGTTGGCTAATTTCTTTCCAGATAGGAGCTCTGCTTGCAATCGTTGCAAATATTTGTGTTTTGGATGTTTTAGACATGTCCACAGTTGGTCATCTTTTGGTCAGGTGTTTTTCATACATTTAATAAAGCCCTTAAAATCAATATACAACCTGATCCTTTGTTAGCCCTCTTTGGTGTATCCCTTTAACCTGATTTGACAGTCCGTGACAGCAAGGTTCTTGACTTTACCACGATTCTAGCATTCTAGAAACACACTTATCCCTACACATGACAAGTAGATAAAGGACATTTTTTACTGTATCAGACTTGAAAAGCCGAGATGCTCACTCTCTGGCTCACTAGAGTCCTTTTATAAGACTTCTATAAAGTCTTTTATAAGGATTCCTTTCTTGATTACAGCAAAGGCCTGCCTATTACACCCGGTGGTGTCAACCTGTAACATTTACCATTTTATCAGAAGGGTTTTTTTTATTCATTGTTATTATTTTAATTATTATTTTATTATATTCTATTATATTTTATTATAATTATATTCTGTATCCAGTTATTCTGATGTCATGTTCTTTTGTATTTAATTTTCTTAATTTGGTATTTATGTATTTCTTGTTTTTTTAAGTTAATAAATGAGAGGTTAGGGGATGGAATTAATAATGGACAATACATTACTGTTTACCTCTCAATATTTAATTTTTATTGTCACACAAAAGACCAATAAAAAGATTAAAATACAATAAAATAGTGTAATATTGGCACTGTAGATAAACACAGAGCTGCAGGATATACTAGCCACCAGGACACCATGGTGAATTCACAAATATCTGATGAGTCTAACTGGTAATTTGTCTCAGAGTTACCACTTTTTGTTTTAATAGTGCTAATAAACGAACACACTCTGAAATTGTTGTTCCATGCAGAGCTTTCCTAGTTCTTCTGGTCACATGGTATTGTGATGTCATCTTTACCAAAAAGTAGTATTTTGCCTATCCACATTGCTACACAACATGTGGCGTCCTGTGATTTTTCAAAGTCTGTGCACAGCGCTTAAAGATTGTTTGCGGTCATGCTGTTGTCACTACAGATTTGCCAATCTAATAAGCAGTTGAAATTCTGTTGTGTACTATGAGATCACACCAAAGCTGAACGAAACATTTATTTGAACTGTCATGAGCTCTGTTCAGAAAAGACAGCAGTTTGCAAACTCTCACAGGAACAATCATTTACATGGACACTAAACAGCGATATTTAGTTTACACCAACACCGACATCAGCTTAACGGACAACACTGTGCACCAATGATCAGGTTAGAAAGCTTTTCTTGTCACAAATCACAAATTTGTACTATGGCAATTCTGTAGAGGTATCAATGACAACCATTAGTAGAAACGCAAGATAATTATGAAGAATTCTTTTTATTACTACTAGCAAACTAAATAATATTATTATTTATAAAAAAAAAAATTGTTAACAAATCAAATCAATTGTGCATTTTTTATCGTACTAAATGTCTTCAGGATTTTGTTCTTACACAGTAAAAAGTTCAAAAAACATAAGTTACCAACATTTTACTGTGGTAGTGAGGTTATTATATTTGTGGTCGTGATCTACAAGTACAAGATGTATACAGTCAAGCCGGACATTATTCAGACATTATTCATACCGCAGGAAGTATGAATAATTTTGGGCTTGACTATAGATAGATAGACAGATAGATAGATAGATAGATAGATAGATAGATAGATAGATAGATAGATAGATAGATAGATAGATAGATAGATAGATAGATAGATAGATAGATAGATAGATAGATAGATAGATAGATAGATAGATAGATAGATAGATAGATAGATAAAACGATAAACAGAAAAACAGATAGACAGACAGATGGACGGATAGATAAATAGATGGATAGAACAATAGACAGATGGACGGACGGACGGACGGACAGACAGACAGACAGACAGAGAGATAGATAGATAGATAGATCTTAGATAGATAGAACTTAAGCTACTTGTGCATTTCTTAAGCCCAGGACACATCAAGCTAACAACAAGAACTAGCGGCTGCGTCTGATCCCGTCTGGACAATGAAAAACAAAACACTCATATTTATACTTCTAAAGGAAATATCAGGATATGACAACCAGGATTATGTGTTCCTTCTTGACTGTGTTGTTTTTGTGCTCTGATTCATAACTGATCAGCCAATCAGAGTCCTTCCTTTCACAGATGGTAGATGCTTTCTAATGAGGCCATCAAGAGGTGATGTGCGCAACACACCAAAATTACTTGCCAACAGATACAAACTGATAGCCAGACACTGCCTGATGGCCTTTAGAGGCAAAACTGGTCCTTTTATTAATAAAACAGGCACAGCACCATCTCAATTTAAAATTTTGTATTAAACATTTTAGTGGCCCCAGTGCCAAGGTTTAAAATGTTCTTCTGGGGCCCTGATATGAATACATTTTTTTGATCTATTTATATTAATATGAGCATTCTAAAAAGTCATTTTGGTTGAACAGACTTTCTCCTGAAGGACAGATATCTCTCAGATTTCATTGAAAAGATCTACTTTTGTGTTCCAAGGATGAACAAAAGCCTCATCGGTTTGGATGGAATACGATGAGGGAGACGTTGAAGCTTGATGTTGATGAAATAACACACTTTAAAATCTTTTAGTGGATTCATAATATCAAAATGATTAGACATGCTCTGAACATTCCAGTAACCTTGGCTACCAGACAATCTAATGAATCTTTCTCATGTAAAGCCTTTAATTAAATCTTGCATTTAGGGAGGGTAAAATAAATGTGGATTGTACGGCGACAAGCACACAAGCACACACTGCAGTCTTCAAACTCTCGTACCCTTTACTCTAACACTCTCACTCTGCCCGCGGATGGACAGGAAGGAGGGGGCGGAACTTCTCCATGATGACACACTGACAGATGAGCGAGACACGCAGATCTGTGTGTGTGAGTGTGTGTGTGTATGTGTGTGCAGGGGTTTGAGAAGTCATGGAGTGGGACACAGGAAAAGATTATTAGATATCGATCAGAATAATATAAACCATATTAGCATAATAATGATTAGTAATGTTTACTTGTTCATATGGTTACAGGAATATTAGAAAGGAAAATGAAAACAAGTTCACCCCAAAAATGAAAGTTCTGTCATTATTTGTTCCAAACCTGCTTGAGTTCTTTCATTCTATTGCACACAAAAAAAGATATTTTAAAGAAGAAGAGAAACCTGTAGCCACTGGCATCTATAGAATATATTATTCCTACCATGCAAGTCAATGGTTACCTGTTTTCAACTTTCTTCAAAATAACTTCTTTTAAGAGTTCACACTTAGCTGATGATTGATTATAAAGCTTGTTTGGCATGCTGTCCCGGGAGAGAGCCCTGAGCTCATAAGATCCTCGAGCCCGAGGCTCCCTCCCATTTACAAGGCGAGAGGGGAGTTTGAGCTTAGGTAGATCTCGAGAATTCCCCTGCTGTAGTAGCTAATGAACAGACAGTGATTGATCTTAAGAGATAAGTACGTACTAGGAGCATGTCTGTAGTCCCGATTTGGATTAGCCAATTAACTTAAGTCGCATGTTTTTGGATGGTGGGTAAAAACTGGCAAACGGGTGAGCACGGGGAGAATGTGTAAACTCCACACAGAAACGTCGGCTAGCTTGGTAAGGAATAGAAACAGTGACGTTTTTGCTGTGAGGCAACAGTGCTAACCACTGGGCCATCGTGTCAGCCATCTAGGAAAGGAGGAGTAGGGGTGGAAGGGGTGATTTTTCAAATGAAGATGACTATGGTATGGAACTAAGGGTATTTATAGTGGCTTAGAATTGTTTGATTGGTGGATCGTAAATTTCAAGCAATCATAAGGATGAGATCCTCTCGAAATTAGTTTATAAATAAACGTCACTTTGAGGTCAACAGAAGAAAGAAACTCAAAGGTTTGGAATCACTTGAGGCTGAGTAAATAGTAGAGCTGCACGATAATCGAAAAATTATCACAATCTCGATTTGACCCTACACATGATCTTAATTCTGATTTTCTATTTTTCGCCCATTTATATATTCAAGGTTAGAAGAGAAGCTTAAAGGCAGTCGCACAAGTCTTCACATTGTTTTACATACATTGTTTTATATATGGTGCTTAGCAACATGAACACCTCCAAATGGTGGTAAAATGTCTCACATACTCTATTTATAAGGTGTTAATCACTCAAAAATGACAGTTCTGTCTTAATAAATTGACGTATTTGCAGCTGTGAAATCACGCATGAGCTGACGTTTGTTTACTATCGAGAGGACATGTGCAATAAAGTCTACTTTAGTTAACAGAACCTGCATAGGCTGTAAATAACAGGTAATAAAGTTGTAAATAACGTTCAGTTTGGGAGCCGTACGGGACGTATAATTTGCATGAGTGTTTTTTCCCCTTAGAGTAACGGCAGCCATGACATGAGTGCACTCGGCAGTGAAAGTGAAACCGGTGCACACAACATTTAAACGTTCATATCACATTTTACAGTTGTGATTATGACAAGCGACTTCCGGTTGGGTGGGCTAATGGAGAAGACGTGTTTGTTGCTCCCGTACATTTCTTTTTAAACTTTTTAAAGCCCATTTACTTTATTTGTGAACTTAAAATCTGAACACTTTTAGGTAAAATTATCACTTTGATTAAACATGACCTCCAAATCTCTTAAACAGAGCAAGCAAGAATCGAAAACTGACCCCTTCGAGGACGCCATGAACGAGCTAAACATGGCGGCGATGGTCAAACTTTTGGATCAACATCGACAGACCCTATCGGCGGAATTTAAATCCTCTATTTCAATTTGAGGAGAAGACGCGGTCAGATCACGCACAAAATATTGCATCATTAGAATGATTACGACAAGCATTTAATACATTTTTTCATTCGTAGCGAACACAAAGTGTTGTGCATGAAAATAAATGTTTACTGGGTCAGTATAGCTACAGTCTAATGCTCAGCGGAGCGTCACATTGCTTAGCTCCGCTCACATGCTCTGGCTGCTACAGTATATCAGTTCAGTATGTTCACTATGTTACATAACTGCCCCCTGCTGGTCATGTCTTTCTTGTGTTAGACCATTTTGTGCTGTGCTGCGCAGTACTGTAGCACTGCTTGTGTTCACATTCATTCACTAGCGCATACTCAGTAGCCACATCTGTACTCTAGTCTTTATAATGTTGAATATAATGCAAGAGGGAATCTGATGATGGCAAGTGTTTCATTTTATCAGTCAAGAAAATGGTCTAATAATGTTCTCAATGACAAACGACAAGCAGATGTTTCAAACATAATAGTTCAACTCTAGAATTATGAATAGTTGTATTCTGATGTCATCACTTTTTCGTGAAATAACAACCAGGACATATTTAAAGTTTATTAAAGTCCACAATTCCAAGTCTATACAAAACTGAGCATTTTAACCAACATTAGACCCACACATAGGCCTAATATTATTATAGTTGTTTTTCCATATGCTTGAAAAATAACAATAATCGGCGACTCATATTAACCTTTATTTTATTTCTACAGAATTGTGAGATAATTGTGATCTTTATTTTAATAATAAAAAAATTGTGAGTCTTATTTTAGCCAGAATCATGCAGCCCTATTAAATAGTGGGTAAATATTAATTTCAGGGTGAACTTTCCCTTTAAGACTAACTGTGACTATTCAACAAAATCAACATATTCTAAAGGTCAGACATTCAGGCTTAAGACTAGAAGTTACAAGCTTGTTGGCACACATTCAATGTGAAAAAAAAATAAAAATAAACCAGAAATATACCTGTTTTTTAAAGCAAAACTATATCCTCATAACCAAACTTGCTGTCAGCCCATTTATAAATGAATGCCACCAACATACACCCAGTCATTTTAGTCCAACTCTTCCAGAATGTACTACATGCCTGTACTGTATGTAGGTCATTCTTTCCCACCTCACATGTCTGCGCTCTCATTCTTGTTCACACAGCAAATGTTCTATGAAAAAACAAATTTATATCCCGGAGGATGATTCCAAGAACATTTTGAGGAAGGATAGAGAGCCCTGGTGACATTCATGCAAAATGTACGATGCCGTCAAAGGCCTCAGCTCGCTAGTTCACCCAAAACTGAAAATCCTGTCATCATTTACTGTTTACCAGAAGAAAGAAAATCAAACAGGTTTGGAAAAAGTGATAGTACACCAGTGATAGTCACTCACTCTCCACTTTTTACAAACCTGTTTGAGTTTCTTTCTTCTGTTGAACACAAAACAAGATAGTGTAAAGAATGTTGGCAAAAATAACCATTGACTCCCATAGTATTTTTGTTCCTGTTATGGATGTCACTGGCTGTTTTTCCCTCCAAAATCCTCCAGAATATCTTGTTTTGTGTTCATCAGAGGAGAGAATTTCAAAAAACTTTGGACCCACTTAAGTGTGAATTTTCATTTTTGGGTGAACTATCCCTTTAATATATAATATTTAATAAAAAAATAAAACATATTGAACTAAAATTGACATTAAAAATATAATATCTTTTTACTTTACATCTTTTATACAGCAAGGATGCATATTTTATTTTTCAAGGTTAATGATCATACTAAACATTCATTCATTTTTTGTTCTCGGCTTAGTCCTTTTATTTTTCAAGGTTCGCCACAGTGGAACGAACCGCCAACTTATCCAGCATGTTTTACACAGTGGATGCCCTTCCAGCTGCAACCCAGTACTGGGAAATCATACTAAACATTTCTATTTTAAAGCATTTTTTTATATCAAAAATCTTACCAACCTCAAACTTTTGAATGGTCATTTTAAAGATAAATTATCACATTATGGCCAAACTTAATTTGGGGATTCTTCATATAAATTAGCTACTTCTCTTTTTCGCCTCTATTAAGACCAGATGGTGGTTTATTACCTCTAAACCATCCTTCACTCTTACTGAAAAGGATACACAATGGTATTTGCAACTAAAAAGAGTTTGCGCACCTCCTCTGGCTTGGTCTCTCCATTAGCAGTGGGCACAGAATCTTTCTCCTCTTTCTTTCCTTTGGCTCCGCCCTTCTTCTCCTTTACCGCTTTATCATTGGATGGCTTCTGTGCACAAACAGGGGTCAGTCCCAAACCAATTTCAAAACACAACAGTTCCTTCTTTACAAAAGTACTACTATCGATGGATTTACTCTTCAGTGTTTGGACTTACAGCAGTGAAGATAACCCACAATGAACTGAACTAAACTAAACTGACACAGTTCCAATTTACTATAATCTTTTATGTTAAGCTGCTTTGACACAATCTACATTGTAAAAGCGCTAGAAAAATACAGATGAATTGAATACTAAACCAGCTACATTTAATGCAAAACCTCCCCCAAATGCTTAACATTCATTAATACACTGTAAAAAAATCAAGCAGCTTTAACTAACTAATTCTAATTAACTTATTCCAAAGACTTTTGGTTTACTTTTCTTTTTTTTAGTAATCTAAACTAGACTCTAACGTAATGTATACAAATATAATATAGCATGATTCGTCTTTTAGTTCAGTCAGTGTTCAAAATGTTAAATGTCTACAAATTTTAAATCAACCCCTGATTTAATGCTTTCTTATGCAGTTTTCACTGACTTTGCCGAGAAAACTAAAACATTGGTTTAACTATTTTTGCTCTTCCAATATTTTATTAATTGGTGTTTTTACAGTGTATATGCAGGGGGAAAAATAACAATCATGCAAAGCACATGCAAACAAATGCTAAAAATGTAGATGTTAAAAACAAAAAGCAAACAAGAAGAGCTGTTACCTTGGCAGCTGGCTTTTTGGCTTTTGGTTCAGGTTTAGGTGGAGCTGGTTTCTGAAAGTCGAAAAAAAACAAGATGAAGGATGTGTCATAACAGATAACACAAAGGCCACAATGAGAATAAAGCTACAGTAGTTTCAGAGCAGTTGACTAAAACTGAAAGAACAGTTTCAGTTAAAGCACATCTAAACGGTGGATAATACTAGACATTATAAATGCCAGAGGGCATCTGGTAGCATTTTTTATGCTCTTATTTATGACAAACCAGTTCCTAAAACGGGTTTTCACTACTCTCCAACCCTTAAGGCAAATATGCAAATGAAGCAGCATATAGGGTAAGAAAAGATGAGTAAAGACACTTACTGAGGAAAGACGCTCTGACCTCCGAGTGGGCTAAAAAGAAAGAGAAACAGTGCAGAAAGTTTATCAACTATGGTGGAGCTAAACCATGTTAATTATTAAACCTCAATATCTTGGTGTATTTTTTTTTTGATAACATCAATTAGATGAGCGTGTTCTGTGGCTGGTTTAGGACTGTCATGTGTAAATAAATACACACACACAGACACACAAAATAAAACACCAGAAAGTGGCAGCAAGTCCCTCAATGGATGATTCATTGAATCATTTGCAACCTATCATATTTTACCCACTTACAAGACTCACAAGTCATGACTCGTTTAACGTTCATCATGATCTTAAATCCTTGAAAGTTTTTAATATTTAATTTACAAAAAATATGTGTGATAAATTATTTGTATTCATATCTTAAATATAGAGATTTCACCTGCATTATCTTCGTCATACAGTGAATTACAAACTAGTAATTGTTAAATCAACTAAAAATGTAAAGCAACTGAACGTTATCAGTTCTAAATTTGAGAAAGAAATGAGTATGAAAGGCAATTTACCTCATGCTTTGTAACTTTGGTGGCGTCTTTGGCCTCTGCTCCCTCAGGTGACTGTAGAGACACAACCAACATGCAAAATTTGTACAAACAGATATTTCTACACACCATTTTGTGTTTGTTTTGTGTCATTTCATTTAACAAAGTGTACATTGCAAATGTTGATTCACCTCAGTTCATACACCGTGTTTGTTTTAAGCGTCTTTTGCTCGTCAGACTTCATTGATATAATCAAACACCTTTAGAATCATAGATATTATACAGGTCTATGGTAATTTGGCTATGGTTGTTTGCTTTTGTGATTACTAATGCACACAGCATAATTTATTATGATACAGCTACAACTGCAAATTAACTAGTTGCCAATATCAGTAACTGTTTAAAACACATTTATACAAAATACACACACAAAAAGACATGATTTGAAGTCAAAAAGACCTAATAAAATCTAAAATTGTCACAATTGTGTTGTTTGAAGTCAGAAATGACTGCACTGGAAACAAATGTGACACCTAATCCCCTGAGTACTAAACTGAAACAAAAACTGAAAGCTCCTTTTTGAGCTATCAACCGCACATTTTAAATGCAACTTAATTTATTTTTACAAGTTTACGAGTAAAACGTGTTCCTGATTTCTTAAATTTATTGATTGTTTTGTAATATTTACTTATACAAATTATTTCCAAGCAAATTTATACTTGGTATTAGGGATGCACGATATATCGGCGGCCATATCGTTAACGGTCGATAAATGCTATTTTTAAAGTTATCATTATTGATCCGATGTCAAAATTAGGCCGATAACTTTAGACTTGTCCAGTGCATTATAATGGAGCATACCTCAAATTGTTTATTCCTTTAAAGGCCGTCATTTATTTGTGAGGTACTGCTGTGCATTAAAAACTCAGTAAGTAACCATGTTAAACCAGTTAAGGTTTCAAAAGAAACTAAAATGCCAATTGGGACGAATTTATGTTGCATTATCTAAAGTAATACAATCTATATTTAGCTTTTTGTTTGTACTATGGCTCGGAACTGTCAAAACACCTCTAAACACGCATTTTCGACACAATAAACATTTCTACATATGTACATTACTGTAACATGTTTTATTCAAGAATATTTGAGCTGGTTTGTAAGTTCTTTCATTTTTATTTTATTTAAAATGTATTTATTTTACTTGTTTATAAATTAAATCCTGTTTTGTTATTTGACCTATTATTTTTATGCAACAGTCAAATTGCATGTTAATTTGCTATGCGAAGAAAAATAAATCATTTATTTTTGGCATGCTGATTTATGTGAAATCGTGAATATATCTATACACTCACCTTGCAATTTTGATATGATTGCTTTCTTCTGCTATTAAGTTCATAAAATCAGTTCAATCTTTAATGAAGTTTTAAAAATAAAATCAGTTGTTTACTGTATAAAAATATAACATTTTGAACTATTTATATATATATATATATATATATATATATATATATATATATATATATATATATATATATATATATATATGTTGGTTATAAGCCTCCAAATCTAAATAGTTATTGGTTATCGATATCGAAAATCCATATCGGTGCATCCCTACATGGTATATCTTTTTACTGTATTTCAGCAAAAATTATGCCAAGTGTTTTCTGTGCTCCAAAGCATTTGAGATTTATGATTCCTTTCATTGACAAATCAATTCTGCATAAATATAATTTAGTACCATGAAGCTCCCTACGAGCACAAAATGTTAAATAAAACAAATAATAGTGATTAAAACAGTATAAAAATAAAAGCTACAATGCAGTGCGAAAAATAAAAAAACAATTGATTATAACCAAATAACACAAAATAAATATTTACTTCATGGATGTAAAAACAAATGAATTAATTTAAAAACTAAGCAGTTCTTTAATTTATGAAAAGTATTTTTAAAAATACAAGTATGCCAGCAACTATAAACCAATATTTGGGAGTTAGTTAGTTTATATAATGACAGCTAATAAATTTACATGTTATAGAAAAATATTAAATACAAAATTAAAGAGAGGAAAAATCAAGAGAAGGAAAAAAAATTGAAAATTGAGTTGAAATTTTGTTGGTTGTCACTTTTTTTGTATTTTTTTTGCTTTTTAATTGTTTTATCTCTCAATTTCTAAATATGTTTGATGACTAAAATATTATTTTAATAAATATATCTGTTTAATATGTCTGTTTTGTTTAAATGCACCAAAATACATTGCCCATTTTCACTGAGAAATGGATAAAGAAATATTCATTTTCAAAATGGGCTGTACTCAGTTATGCTGAGCACCTTACATAAGCTAATACAGTATACAAGCTGATTGTCACAGTATTGCCTATAACTTATTTTCTTCTAGAGAAAGTCTTATTTGTTTTGGATGACATAAAAGCCGTATCAGTTTTTTAATACACCATTTTAAAGTCTATATAATATTAGTCCCCCTTGAGTATTTTTTCTTATAAAGAATAAACAGTTAGAAAAGCTAATAATTCTGACTTCAACTGTGCACACACACACACACACACACACACACACACACACACACACACACACACACACACACACACACACACACACACACACACACACACACACACACACACACACACACACAGTGCTCAGCATAATTTGAGTACAGCCCATTTTGAAAATTAATATTTTTATTCATTTCTCAGTTAATATAGGCAGCGTATTTTGGTGCATTTAAACAAAACAGATTTTTTTAAACAAATATATTTATTAAAATAATATTTTAGTTACCAAACATATTGAGAAATTGAAAGATAATACAATTAAATTCAAGCTAAATATTAAAAAAATAAATTACAAACCACAAAATTACTAAACTACATTTTTCTAATTTTTTGCTTCTCTTGATTTTTCCTCTTTTTTAATTTGGTATTTAATATTTTTCTATAATATATATATTTGGCTCTACTAGTTTTTGGACAGTCATCCTAAGTTATTTTGTTTGATAAGCTCTAGATTTGGCTTCAGTACTGACTAATCTAATGTTATTTGCACAAATATAATATTATAAAGCTTCTTATTAAAAATATTAATTTAAAAGAGAGATTTGCAAGAGGTGTACTCATATATGCTGAGCACTGTATATACATAGATACATATATGTAGTGATGTTTAGTGTTCAATAAGTTTATTTTGAACAGCATTCCTGGAAAGTGTCCATTGTTTGTTTAGTCTCTCTAATTGGAGAAACACTCCCCCTAGAGAAACCCGCGTTTCAGTGCCTCTATCATGAGCAGAGCAGACCGATCTGCCTGATGAACGAGGACTGTACAGTACACTGACTCTCTGCAATCATTTCTCATTTATGATCACCACCAACTTGAGAAGAACAAACTGATTCCCTGTATTGCCAGACATCAGTCGACGCCCCCATTGATGCTGGTGGATGGTGAAGCTCGGTGGATTGGAGATGGTTATCAATAGCGCATCATTTGACCATTTTTAAAACGAAAATTTGTTTTTAAATAAGCCCCTTATTTAGGTCCTGTTTGCTGCCCAGCTCATCAGTGTTTTGCATTGTCTACCACCGGTGTATTGGAGCAGGAGTTCAGTGTGTGACTGACGGAGCGCTCGGCTGGTTACATACGGGTCTGCTGCTCCGCAATGGGGGTGGAGGAAGAGCCTTTCGGTTCAAACATGGCTATACAAAATAATGGGGACCTCTATCGATCGACGAAAGTGAGCTAATGGACAACGTACATCTGAAAATGGAGCTCAGCGAGCTCTCCGGCGTTTTGAACGCGAGCAGAGCGCTCGGTTGTGCTATTCCGAGCGAGGTCGACTGAAGCATCACCGCAAAGTGACATTCAGCACAAGTGCGCACGAAGTGGCGAAAGAGACACTGGGGTATTAAAGCTCCAACTATCATGGAGGAAATCGGCAAGTGTGACGATGATCAAACGCAAAGATGATCGAACGTTCTCAGGATTCCAGAATCCCGCGCGCGGATCAGAACCGACCGCGTTTAAACTTGATCCTCTCTTTACCTGCTCGACGCTGCGCACGTTCAGCTCGTTGGAAAGCGAGCCGCTATTTCTTTACAAATTCCTACATACAAAAAAAAATCAAGGATGTGTGAGGATATTAAAGTATAAACCGACTTACCTTCCTCTTGGGCATTTTTACAAATTTTCCTGTCACTTGTGTTTAGTAAATTAGAAAAGCAGGTATGGACCTGTGAGGTGAGGGAGTGAGTTTAACTACCAGCGGATACAGGATCAATATCTAAAACACCTCTGGTAATAACATGGTAATATTATGCAGACCTCAGACTCTACCCTCGGCTTTGTCTATTGGTCAGTTAGGTCCACATTTAACCGCCGTTCCTTCAAGCGATTGGTCTGTGAGGTAAATATGCTAATATAGCGCGCTCGGGCATTGGTTTGAATTTAGGAAAGCTCTTCAACTGGTTGCGCTCATTGGTTACGCGCTTTCTTTATGCAAATGAGCTCGCTTTGTATTGGGTGGGTTTAAAGGTCCGCGTGAGCGGGGCATTGAGTGACGACAAACCAATGGACGCTTGACAGCACACGCTCGGCTGTATGGGAAACGCATGCACGGCCTCAAAACAAACGCAAGCGTTGTACAATGAAAACCAGAATGCTGTTTATTAACATAAGAAAATGTGCTTCATGTCGAGAAAAACAAAAACAAACCTTTACTTACCTAAGTTAATGCCTCTACACAATTTTCTCTCCTGATAAATAAATACCAACAATGGGAGTAAATGTAGAATTAAGAAACTGGAATACACAGTGTGATGCATGATAAACAGGTCATATACAAGATCAAAGTTTACCCAAAGATAAATTAAATACATAAACAAACAAAATGACTTTAATGCAGTGATTTCTTTAGGTTGTTTAAACACACTAATGTTACACATACATAAACATTAACTAAATAAGCTAAATAATTTAGCTAATTACCAGGAGAAACAACCTCATTTCTGTTTAATTTGACTTTATATATTAGAATAAATAAAACAAAGACATTGAAACAATACAATAGAAATTACTATAACTAAAGTGAACATGAAACTGGAACTTAAAAAATGACTACATGATAATATAAGTGATACTTAAAACTGATACAGAAAATATCATCACAATTACTATCATAATATTATCATGATAAATTAATATATAATTCATTATAAAATAAATATTAAAAACATCATAACAAACAAAAACACACAACAAAACAAGCAAAACTTAAAATACCAAAACGGAAAATTAGAATACTTCAAATTAATAATATAAACTACAATATAATTGAACATAAAACCATAGACAAGAAAAACTTTCATGATTAATATATAAAATAAAATAAATAAAAAGCTGTTGACATTAAACAAATTGTAAAAAATTACAAGCAAAATTAAATCTAAAATGAACATGAAAAAAAAAATAATTAAATCTTATTTACTAGATATAACAAGAAAAAAGCTGCCTGAAAGTCTGAAGTAGTCTTAAACGTTTGAGTGTAAAACTGTATTGTAAAACTACAAGAGTATCTGAACAATGCTAAAACAACACAATTAATATTAACATTTTCACAACTAAAATATAAATATAACGGTCAAAAATATATAAAGTTTTCCATTCTCACCTGGAACTATAATGTCATTACAAACTGTTATGATACCAAAATGTGATATTAAAACAGGTTTCAAAACAGATGAATAGATGAATAGACAAAACGATAGATGGATGGATGGATGGATGGATGGATGGATGGATGAATGGATAGATGGATAGATAGATAGATGGATAGATGGATAGAAAAATAGATAGATAGATAGACAGATAGATAGATAGATGGATGGATAGATAGATAGATAGATAGATAGATAGATAGATAGATAGATAGATAGATAGATAGATAGATAGATAGATAGATAGATAGATAGATAGATAGATAGATAGAACAACAAAAAGAATGATAGACCAAATGACAGATAGAATGATAAATGGATAGAACAATAGATAGAACGATAGCTTGAATGATAAATAGAATGATAGATCGACAGAATGATAGATAGAACCATATATAGACAGAACGACAGATAGAGAAAGAAAGAAAGATAGATAGATAGATAGATAGATAGATAGATAGATAGATAGATAGATAGATAGATAGATAGATAGATAGATAGATAGATAGGTAGATAGATAGATAGATAGATAGAACAACAAAAAGAATGATAGACCAAATGACAGATAGAATGATAAATGGATAGAACAATAGATAGAACAATAGATAGAACGATAGCTTGAATGATAAATAGAATGATAGATCGACAGAATGATAGATAGAACCATATATAGACAGAACGACAGATAGAGAAAGAAAGAAAGATAGATAGATAGAGATAGATAGATAGATAGATAGATAGATAGATAGATAGATAGATAGATAGATAGATAGATAGATAGATAGATAGATAGATAGATAGATAGAACAACAAAAAGAATGATAGACCAAATGACAGATAGAATGATAAATGGATAGAACAATAGATAGAACAATAGATAGAACGATAGCTTGAATGATAAATAGAATGATAGATCGACAGAATGATAGATAGAACCATATATAGACAGAACGACAGATAGAGAAAGAAAGAAAGATAGATAGAGATAGATAGATAGATAGATAGATAGATAGATAGATAGATAGATAGGTAGATAGATAGATAGATAGATAGATAGATAGATAGATAGATAGATAGATAGATAGATAGATAGATAGATAGATAGATAGATAGATAGATAGATAGATAGATAGATAGATAGATAGATAGAACAACAAAAAGAATGATAGACCAAATGACAGATAGAATGATAAATGGATAGAACAATAGATAGAACAATAGATAGAACGATAGCTTGAATGATAAATAGAATGATAGATCGACAGAATGATAGATAGAACCATATATAGACAGAACGACAGATACAGAAAGAAAGAAAGAAAGATAGAGATAGATAGATAGATAGATAGATAGATAGATAGATAGATAGATAGATAGATAGATAGATAGATAGATAGATAGATAGATAGATAGATAGATGGATAGATAGATAGATAGAGATAGATAGATAGATAGATAGATAGATAGATAGATAGATAGATAGATAGATAGATAGATAGATAGATAGATAGATAGATGCTTCACGTAGAATGTGACCTAGACCTATGTTCTTAAAGAGCGCTATAACTGATTCATAACTAATATAACTGCCACATGTGACGCTCTTGTAATTTAAATGTTAAATGCACAGAAGCATTCGACCACAAGCTCACAATAGCATCCCTCCACAATGACCTCACAATGGCCACATCTCTGCCACTGACTTACAATGGAGGACATTCTATAGCAACTTCACAATGGTCCACATTCTACCATGCTTCACAACACACATGTACTGTATCTCTGGAAGCTTGCGGCCACCTGAGAGAAGACAATCAGAGATTTCCTGTTAATGTCAGACCATGTTCATGGAGAGAGCCACACACACACACACACACGTCTATGTGATTCTGGAGATACACAATGTTATGTGCTGACTAATGGCCTTGCTTATTCCAGAGTTCAAAAACTTGTGGAAAGATGCAACAAAGACACTTGCATCAGAAAAACACTGTATTTGAATGATCATGGAGCATCAGATTCTACAATACAAGTCAGGAGACAGTCTAAATAAAACAAATGTAAATAAAGCCACAAACTCAACACAGAGCCACTGAAATATCAATGGAATGATATTTAAATAAATGAACACATTCGTCAATGTCTTAAAAATATAAAAAGTGCTTTGAAATCAAAATGTGTTTATATTTGATATAAACAGTTCATCTATAAATGACATCTGAAATCCTCATTATAAGTCACAATGAGAAACAATATAAAACATGACGCGTGTAGTATTTATTATCAGAATTAAAAAATAACCCTGAAATGCTTTATAAATAAAGAGTTAATAACTACAATTTAGTCAAGTAATGCTTATTACACTAAAAATAACACGACTATTTAATAAAATCTCAAGAACAACCCTGCATTGGTGGTCTAACATTCATATGCCCCATTAAAAAAGACAGTATTAGCTTACAATTCAAGTCAAAATAATGTGTCAAATCACTTCATAGCTTTTTGGGTTAGAAATAAAGCAAAACAAAGGAGATAATGTAGAATGTGCTGATAAATTATATTATATCGAAACGTGATCAAATTTAAGTCAATAACAATGATAAGCTCTGGCCTTTTTACTCTATATCGATCTAAGAGCAGATCACACAACAGAAATGTATAATAATGTGCATGAATCTAGAAATGTGCTGATATTAGAGATGCACTGAATTTTCAGCCACTGAAAATTTATCGGTTGAACATATGTTATGCCATGTAATGGGCCCTCTAATTTTTGTGGCTTCAGGCATTGTTGGGATACTGTTTTTAAATCTGGAAGCATCAACAACTTACATCAAAATATTTATGTCGTTATCATTCAATATGGAAAATGATTATTGAGATTTCATTTTCGCCATATTACCCAGCTCTATCACATGGTGCACAAAAAATAAAATACAAATGTGTTAATAAGCAAAATATCAATCCAATATGTATTTGTTAGCGCAAGCATAATTTAAACAGATGTAATTTACTGTTAGTTATTACACTAAAAAATACCTATTTGATAAGTTATTGGCAAGTTAATGTAAAACTATGGTTTGTTCTGTAGACTATCAAAAAAATACAGCCTAAAGGGGCTAATAATTTTGACCTTAAAATGTTTATTAACAAATTTAAAACTGCTTTTATTTTAGCCGAAATAAAACAAATAAGACTTTCTCCAGGAGTAAAAATATTATCAGACATACTGTGAACATTTCCTTGCTCTGTTAAACATAATTTGGGAAATCTTTAAAAAAGAAAGAAGAAAAAAAAATTCTGACTTCAACTGTATATAAAGCCAAAACAAAAACTAAGTGAGAAATGGTAAATAAAGACAGAATTAGCTTACAATAATAGTCGAAATTGTGCATCCAATTACTTCAAGCTTTTTGGGTTTGAAATGAAGCAAAACATATCACATAGTGCACAAAAAAAGGTAAAAATATAAATATGACTGTGTTAATTAGCAAAATATCAATCCAAAACATAATTGTTAGCGGACGCATAATTAAAAAAAAAAACTTTAACAGACTAAACAAAATACAAAGAAATGTACATAAAGCCACAAACTTAGCATTGAGCCACTGGAATGTCTATGGGATGAACA